AGTTGCAAGCTGGTCACCCTACAGAAAGCTTAACAAAAGAAGGCCATGCTGGATGGAGCAACTCAAAAGCCCATCTAGGCAAGCGGTGGGCAAAACACAGCCAGTCTAATGTTTCTGTCGGCCCACCAGGCCTGGCCTTAGGGCAAGGCGGTTGCCTTGGGCCCTATGCTGCTTGGTGCCTGCTCGCCTGGCTGCTTGCTCATTGCCCTGGCTGGAAGCCACCCAGCTACGCAGTACAGCCAACCACAACATGCTGCCTTGAGCCTTGCAAACTCTGGCCGGGCTGTGGCCCACCATGACACTCTGGGCTGCTAAAAGTCCCACAGTGCAGCAAGCACTCTGCTGTGTCCCCATGCCACTCTCAGAAGTGGCTGGCTACTGCTGGCATGTCTGTACATACCCTTGGAAGAGGAGCAATGGTGCCATCTGAGGAGTTGCCCCTATCCCAGCACTATTCTCACAACTTATTGGCTGAAAACAGGCCAGTGGAAATTGTGGTGGTTCGTGCACCAGGAGTGCACAGAGACATGCTCTGTGAAGGAGTGCACAGAGCCCTCTATGAAGGGGCAATCACAGACATGCCAGCAGCAGCAGGCTGCTTCTGGAAATAGCATGGGGCCACTGCTTGAGCACTCCATTGTACTGCCAGATGGGAACCACCTGTAGGACAGAGCCTGTACCTTGTAACACTTCCTGCACCACAACCCCTGCCCCAAGTCAGAATCCCTCCTGCCCCCAGACTTCCTCCCACACCCTGCACCCCTCCTCTGTACCTAAATCAATGCTGCCTCTCATTTTTATCTATCCATCTCCACAATAAATTTTATGTGCCCCAAGACGTGCAGATATGTACTACCAGTACGCATGCTGCCAGCTGTGGGTGCTCTGCTAATCAACTGGGTGGCATCTGAATTTCTCTTGAGTGGCTACCAAAATGCACAGCTTACAGGGAACAATGTCCCCAACCTCCTGCCCCAGATTCTAGTCCCCTTCTGCACCCAAGGTCCCTCCCAGACCTCACAGCCTTCATCCTCTCCTACACCCCACCACTCCGCACCAGTCTGGAGATCCCTCCTGCACCCAAACTCCCTCTCAAACCTGCATTCATATCCCCTCCACCAGACTAGAGCTCTCTCTTGCATCCAAACTCCATCCCAGATCCCACACCCCATCTATTAATATAATAGAAATAAGCAGCCTGTGACCAAAATTTACCAAAAGTTATGAGGTGATTCCCCTGTGAAAATTATTGCTTACCCCTAAACCAGCAAAGTATCCTGTCTTTCAATGGTGGCCAAGGCAAAGTGCTTCAAAGGTAATGAACAGAACAAGTCATCAAGTGATCCATTCCATTGCTCATTCCCTGCTTCTGGCAAACAGAGTCTAGGGCCACTATCCATCCCATCCTGACTAACAGAGCCTGATGGATCTCTGTGAATTTATTTAATTTTTAAAACCCAGTTTTAGTCTGTGCCCTCATATCAGCCTCCGGCAAAGAGTTCCACAGGTTAACTCTGTGTTGCATTACATTAAACTTGCTGCCTGTAAATTTCATTTGGTAACATCCCCTCCCCTTTAAGTGTTATGAGATGAAGTAAATAACACTTCCTTCCTTACTTTGAAATTTACTTCCATGCATCTGAGCAGATATGTTCATAAACATGAAAGTATGTTTTCCATTTTGCTTTAACAGGCATACATTATATTTGGGGACAAGCCAGAACCAGTTAAAGATGGCCTGTGCCATCCTTGACTACTAAACTTGCTTGCTCACTCACTCTCAGATATCTAGGAAGTAGTTTTTAGTTGGAGGAGAAAGGCAAAAGGGTAAGTATCAGTGATAATGGCAAATGCAATTGGTAATGTCACACACAGCTAATTATATTACATGGGTATCTTGCTCTTTCAGAGTTATTGCTGCTAGTTGTGTCCTTGAGGCAGTGTGGTAAATTTGTAATAGCTTGACACAAAATGTCATTTAGGCTGAAAAGAGAAATTACACTTCTGAGCAATGTGATATGATGATGGAGGTGCTTACAGTCTAGTATAATCTGTCCGTATCAGTAAAACTGAACAAATATATGTTATTGCTAGCTTTTTCTTATTGAATTAGTCACAGACAGGGTAGACAGGAGGAAAAACTGAAAAAAGACACAGGCTGGCAACAAAATGAAAGGGAATGGTTGAGGTACCCCCATTAATTTTTTTTAAATATGTTCATGAATATGATGGACAAGAGAAGAATTTAGACTAGCATTTTCTTGCCCAGGTGAAGTTGAAGAGGCTGGAAATAAGTGCAAGGTCCATTTGCCAAAACTTCCTTTTCAGTGACCAAGGCCGTGCCTGGCATGTCACAAGAAAAATATTGTAGCCTGAATCTAACAATACCATGGGATTAATTTCTAAAGCACAACCCTTTTCCATTGTTTTTATTTCATGACTCAGCCTGCCCAATTTCTGCAATTTGTGACAAGAACAATTCATTGTAATGGGAGAGGGTTGCATTCCCTCCAACAGGAGGTGTACATCCAGGCCAGAAGAGCAGCTAAAAAGAGGAGACTGTCCAGTTGGTGTGGTGCTCTGCCCCCCACCCAAATCACTTCAGAATCCATGGATATGTCAGAGTAGGGAGGGTAAACTGAGCTCCCAAACACGTGGAGGTCAACTCTGAATCCAGAAGAGAGGAAAGAGGGAAAGGGGGAAGAACTTTGATTCACAGAGAACCTACCTGCTTCCAGCCACTTCACCTCATCATGTCCCTTCCTAGTCTCAAACTGCTGAGGGTGCAACCCCAGCCCTGCCTGTCTTTCCAAGCTTTTAGCCTATATGCTCTCGCACCTGAGCTAGGCCCTTCTTCCCACCCATGGCTGCATGTGCATGGAGTTTCAATCTCCATTGGCAATCTCCACTAGGCAGGTTTCTGCATTTGGGTGCCAGCGTTGCCAACTTTCACTCTGTAAAATAAGCAATGTGGTTTTCATGATGATCCAGAATAAAGGTAATCCCATTTCAACACATTTCCCAAACCAAACTAAACCCTAAAAAATTCTCAGTCTATGTGACTGGATCCCCTGAGGTACATTCTGGGCACCCACTGTGTCTCTCTGAATACTGTCCATCTGCCTGTGCACCTCCAAGCCCACTGTACCTTCCTTTATGCATCCCCTTGTCCCTCTGAGCCCATCCTGCCTTTTCTTTGCTCCCTTGTGCTCCTTGCCTCTTCTTTTGGCTCTTGTGCCTCACCATGTCCCCTTTTGCAGCTAGACCACACAGCATGCCCGACAAAAAGGTTTATAATGCTTTATTTTTAATTTTAAAGTGAAAACAACAAAAAGGAATGTTTAAATTGTAAGTAACCATTGCTTGCAGCCTTCACTCACTGCTGCTGGTGCCTCTTCATGGCAGCCATTGATTCATATAGACAGTTGTTCTCTGCCCTACAGAGACTAAAATCTAAACAGACAAGAAAAGGGAAGGATTGTTATCCCCATTTTACAGGTAGGAAATTGAGGTCTAGAGAAATTAAGTAATTTACTCAACCTGGCACTGTTCTCCCCTCCCCTGAATCAGGTCACAAGCAGCCAGGGAATTATCCTGCAATGAAAAACTGTACAGTATTGTGCCCCCACTTGCCTCACTGCACACTGGAGCCCCAGGAGGCAGGAAGTCTTGAGCAGATAATTGAGCACAGAGCTTCTTCTGCACCCTCAGGACCAGATCAGATCATCCTTCATCTCTGTATAAAAATTCTCCCCAGAAATAAATATGAACTTCCAAGACATGCAAATAAACAGAGTGAAAACCAGCAAAGCTGTTAGACCCACTCCTTAAACTTACAAAATACAGGACAATGTAGCACTTTAAAGACTAACAAGATGGTTTATTAGATGATGAGCTTTCGTGGGCCAGACCCACTTCCTCAGATCAAATAGTGGAAGAAAATAGTCACAACCATATATACCAAAAGATACAATTAAAAAAAATGAACACATATGAAAAGGACAAATCACATTGCAGAACAGACTCCTTAAACTTACAAAATACAGGACAATGTAGCACTTTAAAGACTAACAAGATGGTTTATTAGATGATGAGCTTTCGTGGGCCAGACCCACTTCCTCAGATCAAATAGTGGAAGAAAATAGTCACAACCATATATACCAAAAGATACAATTAAAAAAAATGAACACATATGAAAAGGACAAATCACATTGCAGAACAGAAGGGGTTCAAGTACCCTAACAGTTGAAATTCTCATAGACAGCTTTATGAGAAATTTGACCTTTGTCCAGGACAAAAAGAGGAAAAACAGTGAATGTTGCTATCATGTAAAATTCATGTGGAAGTTAGCTCTTCTTTTGGGGATCATTCAGTGTCCTGCTTCACAGGAACCTTTGTAAGCACTGGAAATTCCCCCACACCCCCCCCCCCCCCCAGCGTGGCTTCTTCCGGGATGGGAGTTTTGGTTCCTTTTTCTCTCTTCACGCCCCCTCCCAGCGAAGCCCCCCGCCAGGGTGAGGGGCTCCGGGTTTTTCCCTCCTCTCCCAGAATTTCAATTGTTTCAATGAAGCACAGGGAGGAATCCCTGCCCCGACTCTCCCTCCCCCTCTGCGCTGGCAGGGGCACGCACAGGAACTTGGGAAAAATGGATTCGAAAGAACTTAATTTGAAAAATGCACATGCACGATGGCCGCATCCCCCTGCCCTGGGGACACGCGCCTGGGGCTTCCGGTCTCCGCGAGCAGCATCTGAACGGAGGGC